AGTGTCGTGGGAAGAGAGCATCAATCTCAATGCAGGAGGCTCAATAGGGGTAAACGCCAGCATTCTTTCTGTTACAAGTAGAGAACGGTTCCCATTAGACGCACTCTAGCGCGCCCAGAGTCTTCAATCTTATTAAAGTTGAACAGAAAAAAAGAAAAAGGAAGGGGGCGGACTAATACATCAATTGAGAAGTTTCCCCATTAGCAGCCAGGACCAGCCAGGACCAGCCAGGACCAGCCAGGACCAGCCAGGACCAGCCAGGACCAGCCAGGACCAGCCAGGACCAGCCAGGACCAGCCAGGACCAGCACCAGCCCCCCAAAGCTTTTTTACGCCCACCGTTAGGAGAATTCCCGTGTCCTGAGCTCTCACCCAATTGATGTTTCGATTTTTCTTTTTCGCTTCCCCATCGCCATCACCACCTCTCCCTTGCTTGTTTGGACCCCTCCTTTGTTACGTAGTCTTAGTGTGTTTAGTCGGCGTTTGTTCATGGAGAAAGCGGAGACGGGGCGCGTATTACTGTCGGGTGTTCTTGCCTCGCCCCTCTCCTCGACTTCAGGCAGGCCAGAAACTTCGAGAAATGCACTCAAGTGCTCTTTCCCCGCCCCCTTCCAGTCTTTCGGGCCTTCCATAGTTCACTCCGGGGACTTGACTAGCCTCGAGTGCTCCTAATCGGCCCTCCGTTGTTCCTTTCCTTGGAGTTGGAGCAGCTCGGCCTTATGATGCACTGACCACGTTCGCTGGCAGCAATTGCAGGGTGCTGCGCCAATGGTGTTCTTCCTGAACTCGGCGGCACCTCGCCTTTCCCGGGCGATTCTCAAGTGTACCGTCGATTGTTTCGCAACTGAGCCTCTTATACCTAGCAAGTCTTGCGCTCTCAAATGGACCGAGTAAAAAACACTCCGGTTTGAAGGAGAAGGGACAGAGTAGGGAGTGACTATGCCGTATCATGATGGTACCGATCTGCCCTGAACCCTTTTGATCTTTTGATGCTCGCCCCCGAACTCTTGGGTCTCGGTGGAGACCACATTGATGGAGGCTAGCGATATCCACCCACTGTCGTGGGGCGGTTGTCTATGTGGTTGGTCGTGGCCTTGATCGAGGGGGATCCTCGGATCAATGATGGTGCACCTTCTCGGCGGATCACCGCCATGATCTGGATATGTATGTGCAGCACTGACTCGGGATTCAAGCCCTATGCGCCCGTTATTATGAGCACCTGGATTTTATCCCATCCTCCTGTAGGCTCGTAACTCTGAAATCGTATCGCTGCGTCCACAGGAAAAGGTTGACGTGCGGCAAATCGATTCGCCCAGGAGCCAAGCCTCGCTGAGGACGAGTGACATATTTAGAATGATCCATGGATCTAGTAGTATGTACAGCACCCGTCCCAAGCAATACTTGCAGGTCAACGACTAATGGGGAGGAGGGTAATAATGGAATGGATCAATGGTCAAAAAGCCAAGAAGCCGGTCTTGTCAAGCTCACATTGGATCTTGGGCCCCTCTGTGACCTGTCGTTGGCTTTGACTTCACCCTTTCTCTTTTGACAGGTGTGGCCTGCAGGGAACTAGAAGGACAGTCATCAGCCTATGCTCCAACAGAAAAACAGGGTGGGTGTGTAATCATATGCGGCATGGCCTGGCCCTTGTCTCGGCCACCAAGCGCAGCTCTCCCAGCACATTTGGTGAGGTTGTTCATCCGCGTGGAGCAGCCGCGCTTTTAGATCGGAAAGATTTCCCGCTCTCGTAGTCACAATGCGCTGGTCTTATTATTATTACACTCATTCCTTCCCACTCATATTACTTCGTGCTTGTACTATTACATTCAGACACGACATAATACACCATTGTATACCTCGGTATACTTCACACGTTCACACGCAGCACCCAGGGCCAGGGGTTTCCCAGGCATCCTTGTGCTCTCGGAATCTTTGTGCAGGGAGGGATTCCTTCGAGGAGCTAGTGACAGCGAAACGGGGTGTGGTTGGAGGGAAGGATGGAATATCAACACCAAGAACCCACACAGGAGCTCGTTCCTCTGGCCACGCCGGGAAAGGAGACAGGAGGTTTCGTGCATGCTTTGATTTTGGGGCGGATGTGTGTGTGGTGGGGCATGGCGGGTATATTGATCTTCGAGGAACGAGTTTAAAACGACTGGAGGGAAAGAAAAAGGAAAAAGGAAGGAAAAAAACCAGTACATCAATACCATGTGAGAGATGGGGCGGGCGGCCTGGGTTGTGGATTCCTTGGCTCTGTCTAAGCCTTCAAGCATTGAACCCTTCCCTTTGCTTTGTTCGATTGCAAGATGGGGTCAAGTGTCTATGACTTGAGATTCTCAACGGAGTTTCCCAATTCCTTGTGGATCTCTCGATGCGTCGACCTGTACTTGAACTGATCTAGGCCCTCCCACCCGATAGCGCCAAATCCAGTACCCACCACGCTCGTGTGAAATCTCCACTTTTATCCCCTCCCCCACCACCCACCACCAATTCATCACTCCCACCACCTCCAGACCCTTGTTTGGTGGGTTTGGAAATCATCAGACCTGCTGGCCTGGATACCTGGATCCCCTGCGACCCCGTCGTGCATTGGCGTGTATCTTGTTCCTCGCGCCAGTTTTCTTTTTCATCCCCCAAAGCGCCCACTCGCACATCCCTGTTGGTGGCAGCGGTGCGGTGCGGTACACACAACACACACACACCCACCTCACCCGCAAGACCCGGTAGTGCAGAACGCGGCACACCTTGGATCCCGAAGAAGCATGAAGGAACATGGATCAGAGGGCATCAAAGGACGAAAAGGAGACGAGGGAAAGGGGAGCCATGCCAGGGGAGGGAATGAGGGGAGGGCAGGAGAGGAGGGCAAAGGAAACGACAAGAGGCGGCCAGAAATGATAAACACACTCCCTTGCTGAAGATCAATTGATGCTTTTGCCATCTCCAGCACAAAGGTCCGCCTCGTTTGTGGCAGTACTGCCAGCTCCTGCCGCTGTTGCTGTTGCTGTTGCTGTACTGCTGCGATGCTGTTTTGCGGCACCAAGAGTCTTGATCATCGACAAGGACCAAAGTTGAAGTCTGGTTGAGGGGCACAGGGGTCAGGAAAAGGAACATGAACCTATGTCAAAAAGCTGGGCCCCAAAAGGAAAAAAATAACCCACCACCGGCCTTCAAGATCCCCCTTCCGAGCTTGGGGGCACTTTCCCCTACATCAACTGATACTTCGTACCTCTCTTCCCTAATTCTCGTCCAAGGAGAGAAATCCCACTCGAACCCTTTTCCCTTTCAGTCTCTCATCTATTAAACTTGTTGGTGCCCTTTAGCTCTTTAGCTGGGGTCCTCCCATCCGCGTCCAAACTCTTTTTCGCATTCCTCCAATTGATCACCCGTTCCGATTTCCCAGACTTCTGATTAGGAGCGTTAGTGCATTCTTTCACGCCTCTGCGCACGCTACTACCAAGTAGGTCCTGCTGGCTTCCCACCTTCACATGTGGAGGACCGGAAGGCTGGATGTGAGAGAGAACCCCATTCCATCCTTACCGGGCGTTTCTCCCTTATCGGGAAACCCTCTTCTCAACTTCTCCTCGACGCCCTAAGCAGTTGTTGTCCCAAGTCTGGCGCTGCAAAAGAATCCAACGAAAAGGCAAGCGTCCATTACCTGTCACCTCGTTCTCATACGCAGAGCAAGGGCGGAGCGAGTTATCAAGCAAATCCTGCGCGCCTCTTGAAGGCTCGTCTCCTCGTGCAATCGTGCAATCGTGCAATCGTGCAATCGGGTTAGCTATCAAGCAGCCAGCCAAGGGGAATCGAGTCGACAACAATAGCGACGACCAAGACCAAGACCAAGAACGAGGAAACAGAAATAAAGGAAATACCACCTTCTCAAACCCAAATCATTTTACCAATTAGCATCTTGGCTCGGCGCACAAGCTGCTGCTCAATTAGGAGAGGCTTCCGAAGCTCCTTTTCTTTCCTTTTTTATCTTTTCCGTTTTTTTATCTTCTTTCTTTTTCTCCCAGGGCTCCTTCTTGCTTGGGCGCATACCGCACTTCCTTTCCCGGGCGGTCCATCCGCCCTCCTCCTCCTCCGGAGCCATCAATCGACCCATCGGACTACCCGAGAGTGGCTAGTCTAACCTTGTCTGTAATCGTCACTCACCAGCTAGACAGCTCCCCTCGAACGGACCAACGTGTGCGACCCTTCACCCGTTCACCTCATTCAACGACGTGCCATCCTGCTTTCCTTCCCCTTTGCCCCGACGCAGCCCAAAGGGCTCCTTTACCCGTCTTCCATTATTTCACCTTATTATTGTTATTTTCTTTTTCCCTCTTCCCGCCGCTTCTCTCAAGCGGCTGGATGCTCGCGTTCCTGGTTACACTGGCATGTTTCAGTTGTCCCCTCTCGGTAGCAGATTCGATATAGGCAAGCTGACGCCGTGCAACTTCAACTACCGCCCTCAATTCGTTCGTACCTTCTCTTGCCCGGTCTTCCGTTGATCTCCGCGGCTCATCGGGTCCCGCTGTTTTCCTCTCTTGACGAAACTCTTTTCACCGCCCCTGGTCCGCTTCGCCTTTCGTGAGACCCAGGCTTTGCCCCCTTCTGCAGCAGCAAGGTGCTTTTTTTTGGCCATTTCTCCATCCCCGACGACCATCATTCTGCTTGGCCCTGTGGTCCTTGATTATCTTTTGTAGTATTGCTCGCCCGTGCTCGCCAGCTTGCGCCCCAATTTCTCTCGCCCATCTTGGTTTTGGCCCACTAAGCTTGTTGGGGCTCCACGTCCCTCTGAGAGATCTCGCGCGTCTCCTGGCCTTGAGAGTCCCCCAATCTGGACGCCATCTGCAACTTTGGACCAATATGCCACATTGCGTCCGTCTCACGCCTTGAACTAGTTGACAAAGTATAAGAGAAAGGCTCACTTACGCTCCCTGGCCCGACATCGACGGCTTTGGATACCCTTGTTGATTTCTAGCTGCTGTCATTCTTATCAAACTGCCGATCGATACTATGGAAGCTCCGGAGACCATGTCCGAGGCGAGCAGCACACATGATAGCAGGCGGCCTAGCTCTGCAGGCGAAGGAGACGAGAACGACGATCAGAACCGCAAAAAGGCTACCACGCGGAAGCGCACCAAGACTGGGTGCATCAGTAAGTACTCGGAGGCGCTCTTGAGCGCCCCTATTTTTGTGTTGTTCCTCAGGTCTTACTAACTAGTTCTCTGCCCAGCCTGCCGGAAGAGGCGCATAAAGTGCGACGAGGGCCGGCCAACATGTGGTAACTGCATTAAATCGAAGCGACAGTGCGATGGATACAACCAACGTGTTGTGTTCAAGGAGCCGATGGGGGCCTTCTCCGGCTCCTTTGGCATGATGGGCTACCCCCACGATTCTCAAGCTCTTGCAAATCAAGTCGCCCCTTCCCCTCAAGGTCGGGTACAACCTCGACCAACTCTCACCAACGAATAGCGCCCAGGCCGCCCTCCACTCTCGATTTTCAAGATCAGGTTCGCTACGGTCATGTGGGCCAATCATCCACGGCCACCGACGGCTTCAACTTCAACGAGCCCTATACGCAAAATGCCATGCCCCTCACACCCTCGGGGCTCTCGTCTCCTCCCAGCCTCCCCACGGAGGTGGCTTCCGGTGGGATAACGGGAGGCCGCAGAATGCCGCCGAGCCGCTCACCCCCGGCTCCTTGCCCTTCGCTCCGAGCACAAGGGGTTCAGGACAGACCGTGATTGACGCCCACGATGGCATTCTCCGACAACCCTATGATCCTGATATACTCGTAGAAGATGGCATGGTGGACCATGAAATGGCCGACTCCGACGGCGAAGTAGACGAGCGAGCCGCCGGCTTCGAGATGGAGAACATGGATCCCGGCGAGAGCATGCGGAAGAGGAGCACATTCGGTGCCCTCATCGATGGGCGGTTAGTGCCCCACAACGAAATTCACGAAACGCGCATGAGAACCTTTTCCGCTTACGCCCGCGGGACAACGCTGGCGACCTACGTGCCCGCTTCCGGCCATGTGCTGCCTACCGACCCGCAGACCATGGCCGTCTTCCGTCATTTTGTTTTCGTTACGGGGCCTAGCATGTCCCTCTACGAAAGACACCCTTTGACCACTCCAAGGTCTCCCTGAACAGCTCGTGCCGCAGGTCAACCAGAATATCTGGACGTGTAAGTGGATCCGAGAACGTGATTGAAAGTTGAACAGAAAAAGCCCCCCTCTCTCCTAGCCATTACTACACCTATCATTACTACACCTATAGTGCACATTGCAAAGATGCTGAACAAACCTTTCGCCGCAGATACTTTCCCGATGTTGTCCCTCAACCACCCGGCTCTCCTCCAAGCTATGCTTGCACTCGGCGCTCTTCAAATCGCCAACCTGCAACGAAACCCCCACAGCTGCAATGAAGCACTATCACCTTGCTCTCCGGAAGATTGCCAAGTGCGTGCGCAGCTCTACGCACAGAGCCCACCCCGCGACGTTGGCGGCCACTCTGCTACTGGGGTATTTCGAAGTATGGTCATCAGACCACACGAAATGGTGCAGGCATCTCTACGGAGCCCGAATTCTCTTCCGCGATGTGCCCTTTCGACATATGACGCGGCTAATTCTCCCGCTGAAGAGGAAGAGGAGGCAACAGTTTGAGGAGGAAAATATCCAGGACCCTTTCAATCCCTGGTTGGACTATAGCTCGGTGGACACGACGGCACCTGGCCTTGACGAGATCGATGTCGGCCTTCTCAGCACAATAACTGGGAGACGGCTCTCCGAAGATGACTACGGCTACGGCGTCGATCTTGACACGCTCCCGCGCATGAGTTTGCCCACGGATCGAGACATTGAGTACTACGAGCATCTGCGGGACCTGTTTTGGTGGAACTGCAAGATGGACGTTTACCAAAGCATCTTGGGAGCGACGCGGCTCTTGTAAGTGCATCAAGCCAAAGGAAATGATTGGCCCTCCGCCAACCCCATACCAACCCCATACCAACCCCATACCAACCCCATAGTTTTGAGTCTTTAACACCGCTAACGCCCCTCTAGCATGCGCCTTGATGAGTGGCTTCCATGTCCTCCGCGGGCCCCTGTCGGGCGACTCGATGCCATGTAAGATTAATCTGCGACTTCTTCCTGCTCTTCAAGTCGCTAAGCCCATTCGACTAACATGCCAACTTTTCACCCTACCCTTTAGTTATGGAACCTTTGATTACCTCCTGCTCTTGATGGGCCGGCTTTCTGAGTTTGTGTCGGACGATCTTCCGAGGAAGAGGATGGCAAACAAGGTGCCCGGGCCGCCGGGTGCTCCATCGCCGCCCATGTTTCCCGGCATGTTTCCCTCGCGAGGCAAAGTCTCGGCCCCCAGCGGCTTCAGCTCCTCGCGAGATGCGTCGCCCCAGAGTGACGGCTTCGAGGACGGCGACATCCATGCCGCGACCGAGGCTGCCTTGGCCAAGTGGGAATCGCTCAGGCAGGCATTCGAAGTCTTCCGCGCGCGGTTGGGCCCCGAGTTCCAGCCTCTGGCGGACGAGTACTCCGACCGCCGGGACTCGCCCTTCGGCCCCGCCATCCAGTACCGCACCTTTTCGGTGGCGGGCATTTGGATGAATTTCAACATGGGCCTGATTTGCCTCTACCGAGCCCACCCCTCGATGCCGCCCGCGGCCATGATGGCGGCAGGTAGGGCTGCGCGTGATACGGCTCCGATGGCGCGGGAGATTGGGCGCATCGCGGCGGGTCTGTCGGACGACACCTTGACCATCACGGAAATTAGCACATTGGTTGGCGCAGCTTTTATCGAAAGCTCGTTTTGTCTTTTTGTCGCTGGCATCCAGGTACGAGACTCCCCTTGGCCTTTTTCTTTTTTGTATCTCTTTTTACTTTTCCTTTTATACCCTCTTCTATCCTCCGTTACGTGGGGCTTTGAAGACTAACAATGCGCCTTTTCTTTATATAGTACCAAGACAGTGTCCAACGTCATTGGCTCATCCAACGTTTACATGACATTTCCCGTCTCACGGGATGGGGCTCCGCGCGCCAGATCGCGGAGGGCTGCGAGGCTAGCTGGGTGCGCGCCGCGCACATGGGCCGTGGACCGCCGTATGTACGGTCGGCGGATCTGATGGCGGGTGGGCCCTTGACGGTATGGTCTAATCCGAGGAGGATCGATAAGCGAATCCAAGAGCTCGAAGAAGGTGGCGAGGTTGTGCTTGCCAAGGCGGACAGGGCACACCTTGCGCTGGGGCTGTTGGGTGTTGATGGGGACTTGGATCGGCTGAAGCTGTCGGATGATTGAACCTAATAAAAAAGAGGGCAGAGAGAGAAAGAGAGTAAGATTGATCCGATTTGTCTCGCTTTCGGGGAGATGAGCGCCCGCGCCCGCGCTCGCCCGCCACTCTTGCTTCTCACACCCACCACTTTTACGGTTACAATTGGGGTAGTTTTGGAAAGCGTGCTTGTTTGTACTCAGCTAAAAGAAGCAGCAAGGTTTTACTTGTACGGACCGGACCGGTGCTCAACGGGGGTAATTATGATGATGACGAGGAGGATGTATACCTGTAGGATGTAGCGCTTGGGTGGGACGGACTTGTGTATTTGAATAGCCATCCATTATATTGTCATGACGAATCAATGCTCTGCCATTTGCCCTATCTCATCTCCATCGTGACGTTGAAGATCTTCTCGGCTCACAAGAGAAGACGGCGTGATGGCTACTGGTTTTCTTTAGAAAGAGCTATTGCTATAAACAACGAACGAGCCGCGTACGACGAGTATGGCCCTGATTCCTCGTTCGTAGTTTGATTATGGCTTTTGACTACTCAAGTTGGACTACGGCTGCCTCTCCCTGTCTTTCTTTTATCTTCGCACGAGGGCTCCCCACAAAGGTTGCATGGAGGCACCGAATAGAATAAAATGTTCTGATGGAAGCTCTCGTTGGAAGAGAGGAGGGAAGAGAAGAAGAGGGGGTATGATGTTATATGGTTTGGTTTGTCGTTGCGTCAAGATAGATAAGTAGATTACATGCTTGCGAAGTGTGCGGGAACAGTCATCAACTTCGAGCTCTTTCCCTCCCCCACCGTTTGTCCCTCCCCCTTTCGCCTGACCCTCGAGACAACACTATCGCCCTTTTTCCATTCGATATTTTCTATTGGAGAGGGAAACTTGGCCTGCTTTTGTTTTTGATTTTTAGTTGGCGGGTAGACGCTGAACGACCTCGGCCATCTCTTCGTCTGTGTATATTCTGAAACCCTTCTCCCTTGTGACACTGGCAAGCTGAACGTTTTTGGCATCTAGCTTCTCCTCCATGACTTGCTTGAGGGTCTTGAGGACGAGGGTCTCTGCATCGGTGAGTGTAAGAGACTAGGGGTGGGGCGAAACAAGTAATAGGTTAGCGGTGGATCGGATGGCGGAAGAAAGAAAGCTGGGCTTCGTAGCTGCGGCACTTATTTCTTACCTTGTGGTACTCGTTCTGCAGCTCAGCCTGCGCACCCTCGGAACCGGACCCGATAGCCTTGGCGTCGTACCTGTAAAAGGTACCGCTAGGCTCGGCGTGGAAGAGCTGGGGGCCGTCCTCGTCGATGCCGGCAATCAGGAGCGCGACGCCAAAGGGCCTAGACATGACGCGGTCCTCGCCGTCCGCGCCCTCGCCGAAGCGGAGAGCCAGGTCGCAGATGGCCTGGGTGCAGGACTCGACGCGCAGGGACTCGTTGTAGTTGAAGGCGTGGGACTGGCACTCGACGCGGGCGTGCTCGACCATGGAGCGGGCGTCGGCCTGGAGGCCGGACATGGCACAGCCAATGTGGCGGTCGATTTCGACAATCTTCTCGACGGACGAGGTTTCGAGGAGGGTGGAGGTGACGCGCTTCTCCACGCCGAGTATGACGCCTTCCGAGGTCGAAACGCCGATAGCGGTGGACCCGAGCTTGATGGCTTCGAGAGAGTACTCGACTTGGAATAAACGGCCTTCGGGGGAGAAGGTGCTGCGAGGAGTGAAGAGCGGGTTAGCGAGGTGCGCTGACGGGAAGGAGAGGAGGGGGCCCGAGGCGAGGGATCCTGAAGCAACAGGAGCTCGGAGAATTGGGGAAAGCGGTGCCGGGCAGGATGAGAGCTCGGGCTGGGCACCGAGATGGCTGGGTGTTTAGACGTACTTGATACCCCGATCTATGGACAAATGAACAAAGATTGTTAGCTGTGCATGGCCGAGAAGAGGCTGCACACAAGGGTGCGTGCGGAGGTGGGTGCAAGGAGCTTCAGGCAGGAGAGCTTACCGTATTCCGACCTTGCCATAAACATCTTGGCGGTATTGTTGTTACAAACGGGTCAATGTGAAGAAGGGAGAGTCGTTAAGGAATTAGTGATCCGACTTTGTTGTCGGGGAAAGGCGGATGGATGTTGCGGTTGGCGTTGGAAAAGAAGAGTGCGCTTCAAAGTCGTTGTCGTTGGGTCTGGGAGCTCCAGCCACTGGTGGTTTCTTTTGGGGGAGAGATCAAGGCGGCGGGCGAGTCGTTGCGTTGCTCTGGTATTACCTTAGTGGCTAGGTTAGGCAAACAGCCAGCCGCGTAGTGTGGGAGTCGCTGCTGGGTGCGTCTGTTTCGTCAGCCTTTGGGCCTAGCGCGGGAAGAGCGGTGTGGCTGGTGAGGGTACCAGGATTGGGGAAGGGTGGTGTGTGGGTTTGGGCTGAGGCTGGAAAGCTGACCTCAGCCAAGTGCTCCGTGGGATTCTGGTAGTGCGGCAGCAATGGTGCATTGATTACTTGTGTACCTTCTGTATGATAGATCTTTACCCTCTAAATCGATGCCCTCAAGCTGGCAGGGCCCCTCTGTGCCTGAGCGCGAGGAGCTGTTTTGATTTCTGCGGGCGCAAGTCACGGTGACTTTGAAAGGTTATCATAGTCTACTACATAATAAGTACAAACAACCTATCCACTGTACACGGGAGTATCCCATTCACCCCACCCTCAACATCGCAATCGCGGCAACGACGCGACGGCTGAGCCTATCTCGTTTACCCTCGCTTCTTTTCAATTCTCGTTCAAATCGGGGGAAAAAGACTGGGCCTTTGTTTTATAAAAAGAAGCCTCAAGGCGGCGCGGATTCTTCCCAAACATCACTTCAAGACGGCACCTACCTCACGCCCCCGGCCTTGAGATTTCCTTGTCCTCAACCCCTCTACCGGGTCGCCTTTCTACAAACAGCGACCTATTCCGCAGATGCGACCATTTTTACCATGTCCTCCGCCGCGGCACGGCTCTCGACCCATGAGCGCCGCTCAAGCGCACACCCCGACGACCGGCCCCGCGCCCAGCGCGTGAACCCTCAAGGTAGCTTCAAGGGCGAACGCGCCGACCCTCGTCAGGCCCAATCCCCCAAGCTGCCCCACCACCAGCAACAGCAACAGCAACAGCAACAGCAACAACAGCAACAACACCAGTATTCTACGTCGCATAAGAGGTCGGCGTCCGGGAACCCTCGACCGCTCAGTCGCACCATGGAAGACCGCAGGACGGAGGAGAGGGAAAGGGAAAGGAGGACGGAAATTCATACCGAAAGAACATATGTTACCCACCGGGAGCAGATGGTGACGAGGACGAGAAGTCCCGAGAGGAGGGAGAGGGCTGAAAAGAGGGACCCGAGGCAGCGACAGTCGGAAACGAGGCCGAGGGAGCAGCCCAAGCCGGAGACGCCTCAAGGTTGGTTCGACCCTTTGTGTATCTTTTTTATTTTTTATTTTTCGTTTCTGGGTGGGCACCTGTGATGTCTACCCAAGCTAACTTGCTCGTAGCGCCGTGGAACCCTCATGCGACGCTGATTCCCCACACCTCGGCGCCCCTGGCCTCCCGAATTTCGATCCCACCGCTCGCCTCCCAGGCGCCTCAGGCTCAGCAGCCGCGGCCGTTGGGGATCTATCCCTCGAGGCGCAGGAAGCCGCCATCATCGAGGACCTCTTGTTTACGTTCATGGGCTACGAGGGCCAGTATATCCGCTTCGCCAAGGCATACAACCCCCACGAGGAGAGGGACCGGCTTACCGGCCCCGTGTTTCGCGTCTTACCCGGTCTAGACCCGAGTCTGCAAGACCTCACCAACTCCATGCTTAGGTTGGCGACGTACTACTCTGCGCTCGAGGCCTTTGTAGATGTGCAGAGCAGGGAGGAGTTTGGCGCCGTGAACCACGCATTATGCGCGGCCGTTCGGAAACACCTGCAAGACTACCTCGTCCTCGTCGCCCAGCTCGAGACGCAGTTCCTCACAAACGAGAGCTTCACCGTCCACGCGCTCAACGTGCACACCCTCTCCACCCGCCAGATGATGCTGCAACTCTACTCGTTAGCCCACGAACTCCTCAAGAAGAATGCGCTACTCGACGACGAGTCGGATTCGGAGTCGAGCGATAGCGGCGACGACTTTGAGAACATTCTCGAATCCCTGAGGGAAGGCGGCGAGCTGGCGCCGGGCAACATGACGGGCAAGAAGATTTGCAAGGGCGGAATGGTGCTGGGAATGATTTCGCGGAGGCTCGAGACCATGTCGGGAGACCCGTCGGCTAGGGCGCTGCTCACGGCGCTGCTCCGCGACGCCAGCAGGCCGTACATGGTCATGCTCAACGAGTGGCTCCACCGCGGAGGCATCAACGACCCGCACTCCGAATTCCTCGTCAAGGAGCAAAAGAGCATCAAGCGCGAGCGGCTCGAGCAGGATTACACCGACGAGTACTGGGAGCGGCGGTACACGATCCGCGAGAACGACATACCTCCTCAATTAGAGGGCGTCAAGGACAAGGTGCTCCTGGCGGGCAAGTACCTCAACGTCGTGCGCGAGTGCGGCGGCGTCGACGTCAGCAAGGAGGTCAAGGACGTGCCCACCTCCTTTGACGACAGCCGGTTCCTCGAGAACGTCAGCAACGCCTACGCCCATGCCAACGAGTCCCTCATGAAGCTCCTCCTCACCGCCCACGCCCTCCCCGATCGCCTGCGTTCCCTCAAGCACTACTTCTTCCTCGACCCCTCGGACTACTTCTCCTACTTCCTCGAGCTGGGCGCCTCGGAGCTCAAGAAGCCCGTCAAGTCTGTTAACACCGGCAAGCTACAGTCGCTTCTCGACCTCGTGCTCCGCCAACCGGGCAGCGCGGTTTCCCTCGACCCCTTTAAGGAGGATGTCAAGGTGGAGATGAACGAAATCACCCTCATCAAGTCCCTCCAGCGCGTCGTCAACATCACCGGCATCGAGCAGGGCGAGGCCCTCCAGCCCCTCACCTCCAACCAGCCCATCGAGAACGACAAGAACGCCATCGGCTTCACCTCGCTGCAGCTCGACTACGCCGTACCCTTCCCCGTCTCGCTCGTCATCAGCCGCAAGACGGTCTGGCGCTACCAGGCCCTCTTTCGGTACCTCTTATCGCTGCGCTACCTCGAGTCGCAGCTGTCGACGACGTGGCAGACGCAGATCCGCGGCGTCACCTGGGCCCACAAGAGCTCGCACGCGAGGCTCGAGACGTGGAAACGCCGCGTGTGGACGCTGCGCGCGCGCATGCTCGTTTTTGTGCAGCAGCTCCTCTACTTTTGCACCGCCGAGGTGATCGAGCCCAACTGGCAAAAGTTCATGTCGCGGCTCCAGGCCTCGGGCGACGTCGACGCTGGCAAGGTCGAGGGCCCGACCAGGACGGTGGATCAGCTGATGCAGGACCATGTCGATTTCCTCGACACTTGCCTCAAGGAATGCATGCTGACGAACAGCAAACTTTTACGGGTAAGTTTTTCCATAATATTCCCTCTCCCCTCTCCCCTTCTCCCCTTTTCCCCCTTACGCGCCGAGTAATTGGAAAGGGAGCCAGCGCCGCCACTTACACCGCTTTCTAGATCCATTCCAAGCTCATGCAAACCTGCGCCATCTTCGCCGCCTACACGAACTGGCTCTCCCGCGAGCTCGAAAAGACGGACCCGGACCTGTCGTCCCCAACCCAGCGCCCCGCCAACATGTCCATGCCGGAATGGCGCCTCCTCCAGGCTCACCGCGCCTCCCAACCCCCAGCCGCGGCTCCACCTCGGACCCGTCCGGGGCCGATGGCCACGGCGGCGGTAGCGCCAGCGCCAACCCGGACAAGCGCGTCTCCGAGCTCTTCGAAATCATGCGCAAGTGGGAGGGCAACTTTAGCAGGCACCTGCAGATCCTCCTCGACGCCCTCAACCACTACGCGGCCACGGAGACGGTGGTGCTGCTGAGCTTGTGCGCGCGATTGAGCGCAGCCAACCAGGGGACCGAGTATGCCGGGCTTAGGACCGACATCGAGTCCGCGTAGAAAGGGACACAGAAGGGAACGGCGTGCTAGAAAGGAAATACAATAAAAAGGCGGGACGGGGCCTTGCTGCCGGGCGAGGATTATTACGAGGGTGATGCATCAGGAGGAGGGAGGAGGAAGGGCACGTCCCTAATCAAAAGGGGGAAGAGGGGGACTGCAGGCTTGAGAAAAAGGAGATATGGAGCAGAACGATTGGAGAATGATAGTTGACCAGTCGATAGTCGATACCCGGTGATGACATTTTGCGCTGTTCCCCATAGCATATAACTTAGGACATGACTCGCGCCGCCGTACCCGGCGGAAAGTCATTTAGGGAATAGCACGAAGCGGTGAAGAGGAATCAAAGGATCTACAGGCGGAAGCAAGCGTGTGATGTAGCCAAACTTGCAGCATGGCGATTGGCATTACTGTCTTCTCCTGAAAAGGTTGAAAAGAAAAATAGAGAATAAACGAAAAAAAAAGAATTATGATGTACATGAACATGAAGCAATGGGGGCCAAGGAACGATGGGACGGACAGAGGCCCCCTCTCAAGATGCGAATGAATGCCCAGGGATATAGCCTACCCGCCTATTTTATGCTCGAGGATTTCCGTTGCAATGCCGCCAAGTGATACATATATGTATATATATATCTTTATGTCTGCCGATGCCGAGAGAAGAAAATAAAATAAGATAAAGAGATAAAAAGAGCGCATGTTGAGGTACCAAGTATAGAAGGGGCCAGGAAAAGATAAAAAGATCAGAGGGGAGGAATATTGATCTTGTCAATGGTCTACCAACGACCCCTGGTTGCCGCTCCACGCGTTAGATTTTCCCCGCCCAGGTTCTAAGTCTCTATTGCTTTCAACTCTTGCTGTTTTACTTGAATAAGCTTCTCAGGTCCATGAGCTTCTGTCTTGCTGCCTCACCCTTGTCGACAGCCTTGCCCCTTCCGTCCATACTCAGGAGGCTAGCTTCATCTTCTTCTCCTGTAGCTGCAGCATCTTCTCCTCGAAGCTGTCTTGCATGATGTAGCGCACCGTTTTTACCGGTCTCTTTGGCCCAGCCGGTGCACTCGGTCGATGGCCTGCGCCTCCGCCGCCGGGTTGTACTGTGGTTCCATAACGTAGACATTGCTACCCGCCGTGAGGTTGAGCCCGAGCCCACCTGCCATGATGGAGACAAGTATAACGTGGACAGAGTTGTCCTCGCGGAACCGATCCATCGCGTTTGTACGCGCCGCTCGGGTCATGCTACCGTCCAGCCTAGTGTATGATACACCTACGTTGTCGAGCGCGAGCTGGATGAGGTCTAGATGCGAGGTCCATGCCGAGAACACGACCGACTTGAGGGGCGGCTCGTCGGGCATCTTTTCGCTCTCCGCTTTGGATTGCAGCAGGTCCTCGATCAAGGCTTGGACCTTGGTGCTGGGGCCAGAATACTTGTCAAACGTCCTCTTGGCACCGTTAGCGCCACCAGTACGCCTCTTAGACTTGATGGCCGGACCATCGTGCTCCACGTTGGTTTTCGAGCGTCGGAGCTCAACGAGGTACGTCTGGACCCAGGCACTGCAGGCCGGACAGGGACCCCGCGTCACCCCGGCTGCATGGCGGCCTTGGATTGATCCTTGAAGGATCGAACGCACGAGGTGCAGATCAAGTGGAAACAAGGGTTCATATACCCCATGAGATCTTCCTGGCCCTCGGACTCGATGTTGTCGCTCTCGTCTGCTCCAAATTTCTTCTGGCAGCTAATGCACGAGTCATTATTCGTCTCTTGCATGAGCTCAAACATTTCATAGGCCTTGCGGTCGGGAAGCGCCGAGGCACTGTCTTCCGCTTCCTCGTCGCTATCAAGGTCGATGGCCATTTCCGCCGTCATCCCTTGCAAGGCTGCGAGATCGTCCTCATTGAGCAAATCTTTCCCGTGGGCGCAAATGAGCCGAAGCCGCAGGATCGCGCGCAGAATGTGAATATACGTGTGGCCGCCCAGCGCCTTCTCGATGCCGCTCCCCGCGAGGACGCGGACGCGGTCCTGAGCGTTTCGCGCAAACAGTTCGTACACGTATCTCTCCTCCTTGAGAAGGGGAGCCTGACAATTTGGTCAGTCCGAGGAGGGAGATCAATTTTATCTTTAAGGCGACGAAGAGTGACGGAATCGACAAGAATCCGAAGTTTGGGCACGATTTCCGGGTCGCAGCACTTGAACGGTTCGACTATGTGTCGTACAAACTTGCTTCTATCGTCGAAAGGCTTCAGGCGGATAAAGGCGAGGAGTGCTGCCAAGTCGTCGAGTCGGTTCTGCACGGGCGTACCGGTGACGGCCCACCGCCGCTCCGCTTGTAATCTGCAGATTGCCTTGAACTGCAGAGTTGACTGCTCACGGATCATATGAGCTTCGTCAAGAACGATGCGGAACCACCCGAGCTCTTCCAGCGGGAAAGGGCCCTGCTTCTCTTTGCTACGGCCGCTAAGCTCGCTTGAGACGGACCCGTACGTTGTGAGGACAAGATCGAATTCAGACAGCTTGCGCAGATCCTTGATTCGGCCCGACCCATGATAGACGTGGTATTTGATCGTGCCGGGCTTGACATGCTGCTTGATCTGCTCCTCCCAATTCGTAATCGTGCTGAGCGGGCACACGAGCAGGGTTGCTTTTGTGTTCCTGACCAGCTTCGTCAGCTGCAGCGTTTGCGCGTGGGCTCGAGGCCCCCAGCGGGCGCTTTCGGTGTCTTGGGCTGGACCGGGGATTTCGTGCCCCATTTGCGGGAATCGTCGAGCGAGGTGACGACTAGCGACAGGATGCTTAGAGTTTTTCCAAGACCCATCATGTCGGCGAGGATACCGCCCCGGGTCTCGGGTGGATGGGAGGTCCACTGGCCCGTGATGACGTTGACGTACGCCATCTGGAGATTCTCGTTCATCCGTCTCTTCCACAGCGATGGGTTGCTACCTCCTGTGCCCTCTGCATTCTCCATCGACTCCCTGCACTTCATAAAATACAAACCCTGCCGCTGATGTTTTAAAAGGGGCGTCTGCACGGTGGCGGGGGTCGCCGATTCGGGCAGGTGTTGGGTGTCGGCAAGCGAATCGAAGACGGACATTACTTCGTTACGGACCTCCTCTACTGTCCTGAGGGTAGGCGCCGTAGAGGAGCTACCCTGCAAACCCGAGTACGACTTTTGAGGGGGCGGCTTGTACTCTTGGATGTGGGGATTGTGCACCTTCAGGCCGCTCTGGACCCATTTCGGGCCATGGAGTTGCAGGTTGTACCTGGAAAGGTGTTTGCCCACGCTCTTGGCGTGCTTGATAGGCCCGTAAAGAACGAGGTCGATGGGGTATGACCGGGAGATGGATGCGCCGGGCGTCTCGTCGCCCTGCTTCTGCCTCGAAGGAATGCGGCAGTCGGTGCGAATTTTCATGGTTGTGTCGAGGAGGCTTGCGAGACCCTGGGATGTAGACGCATCCACATTACCGATGATCTCCCTGGTGTGGTCATAGGCTTGAATCCGCGTCGTCTTGTCACCCGAGAGCCTTTTCAACACGATCTTGACTATGGGGACCCACTGGGGGCCGAAAAGGCTAAGGGCACCAGGCTTAGGTGAGGGGACCTTGAAGCACTCCAACTTTGCCATGAGCATGCCATAACAAACCTCTTCATCTTGGGGACTGGCTACGAGCTCGACATCATCATCGCCTATTGAGGGTCAGCATTCTTTGCTATCCGAAATTGGGACGGCACATATCAGTGTTCGAGGGGGTTTCCCGCACCTTCGGTCAAGTCCACCGTCTGCGCACCGCCTCCATTCATCATTGGCACGGTGACATGAGTGTTTATATTTCTGACGGCCTCGCCCAACATGCCGCCACCACCAGTGATCATGGCCTTCTTAACATTCGACGAATCAACAACCTCGTCGACCCTCCTTTTCTTGGTTGGGGGCACGACAAAGGCCCGTTCTTGAATATTACTCATCCGCTCGATCATTCCCCCATGCCGACGCTTGAGTTGGTGGGCGTGACCATCGGCGAGGTTAGATCGACAGAATGGGCTGGAGAGTCAAAGGTGAAGGCGAACGACTGTTGCGTGACGTCCGAAGACTGCAGCGTCAAAGATGGCGTGGTATTCGGGGGAGTAGAGTGTGGGAAAGCGGGGGTTCCGGGTGTCGGGAAGAAAAAGGACGGGTCCGCGGAGTGCACGGGCTGGGCCGGTGCCATGACGGATCCGTTGTGCTGCTGCCGGCGCGCCGGTTGCTGTCGCGCGGCGTGCCTCGGGTTGAGCAGAGCGGCGGGGTTCCATGACGCAGTGCCATTGGTTTGGTCGTTCGGGGAGGTACAAAGATCGATCGCCCTTTAGAAAATCCGTTCGTGTGAGCATCATCCATTACAATAGCACGGGGACGCAGGCAAGGCAATGAAAGAGAATGGGGAAGTCGCGCACCCTCAACGCCTCGGGCTTCGAAATCTATATTCACGGATATTTGCGGGGAGGGCTTGTGTGGGAAAGGGGGCAATGTAGTATGGGAAGAATCAGGAAAGGTACCATTCGGGAGCTTTGGAGAAGGCATGGCGCTATCACCAACTTGCCTTGTCGAAAGCTTCACTCCCTTTGACGCGCTCAGAGCATCCGAAAGACACAAGGAAACTGCGAAGAAGAGGTGAAGGTAGGAGGAGGAGTCGCGAAGTTTGTGTTGATCACATGGGTACCGATGCAGATATGCTTGAACCGTAAAAGTTTCGCGGGGCAGGGCACAGCCTAGGTTCTCGCCGTCCCCTAAGATTCGGGCCTCGGTGGGGTGACTTCTCGCGCCCAGGTTGGCGGGGAGGTGGCAGGGGAGACCAAAAAAAAAAAAGAGAGGTGGAAAGCGCCAAAGGCTACAACCAGATTCGCGCGGTGGCTAGTGGTGACTGAAAATGTTGCAAGGAAAGGTCAAGGTCGTCGCAAGCTGGCCGTTTCTTTCTCCCCCGATTTAGGTGTGTGGTTGGAAAAGTAAGTCACTCCAGGCAGAAGGGCGGGTGGAAGGGTTGTTCGGCGGATGTTCTTTTTGAACGCGACACTCAGCGTGGGGAGATTGCGGTTCGGGGAGCCGACGTTCGGGAGGTTTCGCGACAGAGGGAAGGATGACGTTAGTAATCTGGGAATCCCTGAGGGCCCTTTGGCTGGCCTCAGCCAAGTTCACACTTTAAGCCTCTTGTCGCAGCAAAGAAGCAATCTTGGGGATGTTCATGCACGGTTGAGAATGACCGCCTCGGAGCCTAGCCTGGCTTCGCCTATCTTTTTTTGTTCTTGCGCGATGAGATGAAAGTAGGTGGCAGGGCGATTTGAACACTCCCGACGACTACCAATCTCGAAATCGAAAAGAGGAAGAACCGTAGCGAGCTCGAAGGGCGACAGGTGAAGAGGGAGCGTGTGAAGGTTGGCAGATCGTCTATCTCTCAACGCAGCAATTTCTGCTGACGGCGGATCCTAGCTCATTTGTTTTATATTGCAGAAACCAAAAGAAAGCGGGCGTTGGAAAACAATTTATCAGAAGGGGGCAGGACCATGACTATTTCTTACTCCTCGATCGAAGACCATAGCCATTCTCCATGGTCGCCCGCAGGACAAACAGAATTGGTCGAGATGGCACCAGCAACAAGGGTGCGGTTTCCTGCACTGTGAGTGTGGGGAAAGGCGTGAGGTGAGGGCAGGCAGCAGGAGAGACCCAAAAGTCCATTTGATCCTCATCAGCACTTCTTCTTGCAGGTTACAGGTTTCGGACCAAGCTTGGGCACTGGACAAACACCGCCGCCATGGTGGTCACGGGGCCGCTAGCATAGAGCACAGAAGGGGAGAAGGGGCGGAAGGGGCAGAAGTGCACAAGGAGGAGGTTCTATCTCAGGAGAGGAGGTCCCACACCTGCTGGTCCAGTGGCCAACTCTTCAGCCCTGCACTCTACTTCACCGGGCTTCTAGGCAGGATCGAGGTCGTTCTCGTTCGTTGCAAGGCAATTTCGGCGCTCGGCCGTCATCGGTGTTTTCTTTCGCACTGTGCACATGGTCATGCGACCAAGCCTATCTTTTCATCGAGGTTTTGCAAGGGTTGCAGCTTCCCCCAGCCGCCGGCCTCGCAAGCGCTCTAGCCGGACATCCCTGTCTCTCTCGTGGATTATGTGAAAGACTTGGTGCTTGTCGCCCACCCTAGACCGAGTTGAGACCGAGTTGCAGAGCCGGGCCAAAGCCAAAGCCCCACTAGTTATCGGCCCCAGGCATGATGGAGGGCTGCTTCGAGATGACGCGAGGGAAGAACGTCGTCAATGTAATGCATAGCATTGAACATCGTACTTGTAGATGCATGATGAACGATGAGACGTGGGATGAAAAGGCACACAAAGGCCGATGGTTGGTTAGTTAACCTTGAATTCATCCTCTATTCCTTGTAGTTTGACAATCTGCTACGAGTACAGCTTGCGTGGTATCCAAAGACAAAAAAAAAACAGCAGAAGAGCAGAAGAGCAGAACGCCAAACAGTCCTATCCATATATCCTTATCCTGTCCGCCAAAACACCGTGTTGTGCCCCTCTACTGCCAAGTAGTAGCATTCTTTTGGTTTCTCTTCCTTTCATCTCAAGGAGAGAGCCCTGGCTCTCTCCTTAGCTTCTACCGCCAAGCATAATATAAAAGGAAGAAGAAAACTCCCCCGCGGACTCGAGGGCTGACAACATGTTGGACCCGAGCGGGGAGGGGAGGGGGCTGACCGTCACGCTCCTGGGCGGAATCATAGGTTTCTCTCTCAGAGGTAAGCCCAATACCGAAGAACATGCAGAAACATGGGAAAGGGTGGATGTTCCTAAGCACTAGCATTCCTCTTCCATCTGGAGAGGGGAGCTCTTTTGATGTCGAGTGGCCTCTACCACGTGATCTCGGCTGATTCCTCTCGTCCTCTTCCGTCTTCGCGTGCTCCTCCTCTGCTTCGGGTGTTGATCCCTCGAGCGTGAGGGGCTCTGGCTCCGCTGCCTGTTCATCATGGCTACTCGCAAGAGTAATCTTGACGAGGGTGATGTCCCGCGCGGGGTCGCTTTGGCGCCGGCCTGGGAGCTCGTGTTTCGGGAGAGCTGGACAAACGGGGAGGTGGATCTCCATCTGGTGCGGCCACGGAGGGTGCTAGATTCTCCCGTTCCGGTGCGGTTCGTTGCTGTGATTGGCAATCGGGGTGTTGCGCGGGCAATGGTCCGACCCCTACGGGTCTCCCCGTGGTCATTGGACTCGGTTGGCGGCTCGTCCATAGGGCTGGCTTGCGTTTTGCTCTCTTGCTCCGTCGGCATGATTGATTGGAGGAGCGATACTTGCAAGTGGCAGTAGGGCGGGAGGAAGGGGGATAAAGGGGTCTTCGAGTCCTTATTTCTTATCGACAAATATCCCTCGAGAAAATAGAAAGGCGGAGGGGTTATCTGGGGAAATATGATATTCAAGTAGGTATGGGGGAGAAGAAGATGAAGGAAGGGGGAGGGTAAAGGGGATCAGGAAGAGAAATGTAGGACGGGAGAAGGGGTTAATATTGGGCTCCCTTGGCTTGGCTGGCCCGAAGGAAAAAGCCCAAAATACGTGATCTGAAGCTACAAGATAATTGGGAGGGCCTCGAGAGGATCAGACTTCAAGTGCCCGGACGCTGCAGCCCGAAGACTTATGCTTCGGGCGGGTGGGCGCGTTGATATCGTTTGCACAAGGCAGAAGACAAGAGGTTTGGGGCAAACTCTGTCAAACAGTTTGACAGCAGGGGCGGCGACGAAGAGTCGGGGATGTATCACGCGAGGAAAGGTTCAATTGATTGCGGGCAGGTGTGTGGGGAGTTGGATGCCAATGGATGATGGATTCAATGGGTCAAATGGATCAATGATGGATCCGTTGCATCCATTTGATCAATCATTAGCAGTGTCCGACCCCTTTTACTCCCTGGCATGCCCCCTATTTTGCCAGAGTAGAGGGGTTGCAATGGACGGGGATGAGACCTTGGTAAGCACATGAAGGTTTGGATCACCACGACGCTAGTCGTTGCCCAGGTCTTGCGCGTCACGTATAGTTCCAAAGGTCCCCCGTTAAACCACGCTATTAGGGCGGGATTGGCCTAGTGGCAAGCGCTGGGAGACTGGGCACTGCCCGGACGGGGATCCATGTGTCGACAGAGGGGGACAGACGCTTCCAAGCCGAAAGGGTGGAAAGATCGCCCGCTGGATATATTCCTCAGCGCATTTGTAATCAGGGACACATCCAGGCTGCGTCGCGTGTTGCTTGACGAACAACACAATGCAAGTGTGGCTGGAGAAGCGCAGGGTCTTCTATCGGCATTCAATCTGTAGTTGTAGTACCGAGGTAGTCTAAGCAGAAATCGACCCGAAACTAGTGCTTAACCCGATCGGCGGCCGGGTGCGCGCATGATGGCGCCGTCTCCTCCGGACCCTCCATCCCGGCGGAGGCGACCAGGCATCCACCATTGTCTGGAAAAGTTGGCCTGGGCTTCAACCTTCCTTTATCCAATCGCCTTAATTTTTTGTCGTCGCCCTCGCCCCCGTCCTGTCTCTGAGGGAGACCTGAGGGGAAACCTGAGGGCAGAGACCTGAGAGAAGGGGTGGGAGGGAATCTGAAGGTGCAATGTGGGGTAATACACAATCGACTTGGTTGGGCTGGCTTGACTGGATGGGCCACGACGTCATCCACACTTCTCCGGGCCTGAGCAGCCTAAAGATTCAGACGGGTGGTGTGCTGAGCTAAGCGGCGGGAGAGCATCGGCTAATCCAGGCCAGGCACGGAGCAAGTGTGGCCTATTGAACTGAACACGCTTCATTGTTCTGGCTCTTCCAAGCCCGTTGAACACACCAGGAAAGGAGGTGTATTATGACGATGATCCCACCCAGCAAGACAAGCCACCGACCAATTCTCACGCCAATGTCGAGATTGTAGGAGCAGCAATCAACCCCCACCATCTTCCCTCCTTTTAGAATTTCGACTAAGAAGAAGAACAAAGCAAGACATTGACGATGGAATAGCAAGCGTGTCGCGTAGTATAGATCCGGTTTTGTTGCGCCGCTTTCTCTTCAGTTCTTCAAGTACGTATCGTCACCCCTGGCCTCCGAATCAATCTTCAGCACTCCGGAGACTCTGAGACCTATTTTTCGCAACCCCTGCCTTTGCATGTGTTCGGCCTGATTTTTATCCCTCCTTTTCCTCGCATCTTCAACCTCTTCTTTCCCACCCCGTTCCTCATTCATCTTTGATATCTAATGGCTATTTCACCACATTTGTGAGTCTCTGTATGCTAATGCGGCCTTGGGGAATTTAGTTCTTTTTCTTCAGTCGGCGCCTAGTAGCCCCGACGACCTCCCTTTTTTTGGTTCTTTTTCTATTCGTCCCTCTTCTCGCAATCTAGATTCCCTTGTATTTTATTTTATTTCCCTACCCCTGCCGACTGCAGGAAACCGGCCGATAATATACCCCGAGCCACCGTCGTCTTCGTTCCTCCCGTCACTCTCTCGACATCCGGTCGTCTCCCTCCCCGATCCAATGGCGCCCTCACGCCCCGCGACAACCGGATACGAGCGCCTCGCTCAGGCGGATCGCTTTAGCGACGACTCGGACGAAGAAGACCTCGCCCTGAGCTATGCCTCTCTGCAGCCCCCGTGGCCAGTACACCTCCTCTCATCCCGACCGAGGCGCCGGTCGCCCGGGACACCGCGGCCGGAGTGGCAGCAATGCCGGCGTAGACCTCAAAGCGATCAACGCGAGGCTCGAGAAGTGGGCTGATGAGATTGCGTCCAAGTTCAAGCGCGCGAGGACGGCCACCCTGGCGAGGAGCAGCGCCTGGAAATCCACCATTCCGTTTTCCGTCCACCCGAAGGGGTCAGACCCCTCACTTTTGGCGAACTTGCCGACTACCAACCCGCCATGTCGAAGCAGGAATTCGAAGAGATCGTCGACAGCGTGAGGAGGGCCATAGAGCAAGGTACACATCCGAGGATGATCTCGCAAGGAAGTTCGGGCAGTTACTTTGCGCGGAACACGTCCGGAAAGGTCGTGGGCGTGTTCAAGCCAAAGGACGAGGAGCCTTATGCAGCCGGAAACCCAAAGTGGAACAAATGGATACACCGAAACCTTTTCCCCTGCTGTTTCGGCAGAGCATGGTGAGTTGTCCCCTTCTCTCTGCGTCTACTCTGCGTCTAGGGGTCAGAACTCAAAAGCTAACTTCCGTGGCAGCCTGATCCCCAACTTGTCCTATGTCAGTGAGGCTGCGGCCTACACTCTCGACTGCCAGCTGCAAACTGGCATGGTACCTTATACTGAAGTTGTAAATCTCTCGTCCAAGGCCTTCCACTACCCGTTCTGGGATCGTCATAGCTTCTATCGGAAAAGAAGCCACTCCCGCCTAAGCCCGGAAGTTTCCAAGTTTTCCTCAAAGGCTTCAAGGATGCCAACATCTTCTTACGTGAAAACCCGTGGCCGGATCAGTACCTCTCTGGCTTCCGCACCACTGACACTCATAGGAAGCGGCGCAGACGATGGGCGGAAAATTGCCGACCAAGCAGGTCATCCCCGCCGATGACTCGGATAGCGAAGGAGAGTCTCCGCTGGAGGCGCCCTCGGGCCTGGCAACTTTGTCTGGACCGAAAACTTGAAGCAATCATTCCGGGAGGAGCTGGAAAAGCTGGTGATTTTGGACTACATCATGAGGAACACAGACCGCGGCCTCGACAACTGGATGGTGAAGGTAGACTGGGAAACGCAGCAGGTATCTATCACTTCAGAACCGATACAAATGAAGATGAATAATGGAGAGGATGAGGAGGGAGAGGACTCCATTGGTCCCCGCCCGGTGAACTTGGATGAGAGGCCCCAGATGGCCGAGCGTGCGTCGTACCCTTACAAGAGGCAACGGCCTATGAAGGCCGCTAGCCCCTCCCAAGGCGTTACGGAACCGCAAATCTCCATCGGCGCAATCGATAACTCGCTCTCTTGGCCCTGGAAGCATCCGGATGCATGGAGAAGGTGAGAATCTTGCATTGACACCCAGATCGATACCCCGAATGCGTCTATCTGGTAATACAGACTGTGAGTACTAACTTGTCTATGCGTGAACTAGTTTCCCCTTTGGCTGGCTCTTCCTTCCGGTCGACCTGATAGGACGGCCTTTTCGGAGAAGACGAGAAACCACTTTTGCCTCTCCTCACGTCAACACACTGGTGGAGCCAAACGCAGTACGAGCTCCGGAAGGTCTTCCAGATGGACCCCGACTTCAAGGAGCGCATGTTTGCCAAGCAAATTGCCGTGATGAAGGGTCAGGCTTGGAACGTGGTGGAAACCCTCAAGACGCCGGACCATGGGCCCTTGGAGCTCACCCGCCGCGCCAAAGTGTGCGTGTGGGATGACCTTGTCGACATTCCGGTGGCGGTCCCCATGCGCGTCACATCATCGGAATTCCGCCGGCGCGCCAACAACGCGCGGGATTCCATAGACGAGATGGACATTGGCGCCATCGCCTCCTCGGCGCCTGCGAACGGCACCGATGGTGACCTGCTCGGTGTTGCTAGCCCTCCCGCGGATATGCCTCATCCGGGTCGGTTCGAGATGACGACTCCATCAGGCGAGGATGCGCGTTCGCCCGACGAGGTCCCGGTGAACCCTATGAACGGAAAGCGGCCGGCGACTCTAAGAAAGTCGGACTCGGAGCCCCATGGAATCTCTGGTCCTCACCCCAGGATGAGTTACCAGGGCCCCTCCCGGGCGGGCCTCAACTTGTACGCACCGTCGAGACATAACCGAAGGTATTCGCATGCGGCGTTGGCAGCGAAGAGAACGACGAGCATAGCGCAGCAGCTCTACGGCAACGCGATCGACGAGGACGATCTCGACGGCGATCTCGGGTATGCGGCGGCCGAGGGCATGGACGGCATCCACCGCAAGGTGATTGTCGAGAGGCTAGAGATGGTCAAGGCGAAAAACCCCGTGTTTAGCTGCTGGTAGATGGTGTCATGGCCAATGATGGCGAAATGCCGTATGCGTGCGTTTATGGCTTGACAGATGCTATCATCCCGAATGCGCTTTCATTACTTTCTTCAACCCGGCACTTGATCGCGGGTGATCTAGTTTCGGTTGGGTTTGGCGTTTCATCTCGGCATGTGGAGAATCAATCACATAGACGGCCTCCTACTTGGAGGGAACAGGCGGAATGATGGAGATATACCTCATATGTATATCCTGCAGAAGATCGTCTAGGCCCCAACGGTCCGAGAGGACGATTTGGGTCCGGGATGTTTCTTCTTGCCTTCCCTTCCATCTCGTGCCCCGCCCCTTATCATTTCATTTTATTTCCCTTTCCTACTACCTATCTATAAAGCAAACACTGTAATTTTACATGATTCCAATAGGAAAAACAACTAAAAGCAAAAGCAGAGAGCAGTCTTGCCCTTTCGTGCGGGGGAGGGGGGCGGAAAGACGTAACACAAATTTTAATTATCGCGAGAGCGTCTCCAAACTTGTTTACCGCCCCAAAGAAGATTTTCTGGTGCCATGGGTGATCTTGGATGTTTCACACCTTCTCCTCGCTTCCGGGCCCCAGGAGAGGCGGGCCCAAGGAGGGGCGAGGGGAAGGAAAGCGAATGATCTTCGCCTCCCGTCGCCGAGTAAATGCGCATCCCTGGAAGCCTGTTTCTCCCTCACCTTTCGTTTCTCGGCCCACCTAGCCGCAAACATCGCTTGAGCACCCGGGAGAGACACGGGAGGTACCAAGCCTTTTGGATGTGATGATTGATGTTCGACACTATCGATTGTGGTAGATGCAAGCCTTGGAGAAAGAGGAATGGATGTCTACTCGAACGATGGGAGAGGAGGTGGAAAAAAAAAGAAAAAAAAGAAAAACCGAACCGCCTTCTCTTCCTCTGTTTTCCGGCGCTTGAAGGAGAGAGGGGCCGGGACTTTCTCTCTGCTTGTCTGAGCTTTTGCCTTTTCTTCCTCCTCCTTTCTCTTCCCCTCAACTCTCCTTGCCCCCCTCTCCCAAATGTCTGGAACCGCCACATGCATAATTACACTGATGGCTTTTGGGCGAAAAAGTCTTTGGTTCCAAGGGGAAGGACGAGAAGCCAAAGGGGGAGGGGTGGACCTGTTGAGTATTAGAGTGACGGCTGCAGTAGGCTGTTTGGGAGAGCCGGGAGGAAGAGGGGGGAGGAGAAGGGGGTAGGGGGTATGATAGAAACGAGCCGGAGAGGGTGGAGACCAAGAGATATTGATTGTCAATGCTGGGCCCATGCTGCCGTGAGTAAAGAGGCTGTCATCTGTCATTCCGAAAGGATGAAAGATCCAGCAACAGGGTTGCTGGCTCCGGTTCCCTTCTCCCTCCTGCCGGTGGCAAGAACGGATGGAGAATGCGAGATACGTCAAGGAAGGAAGGGAAGCCAGCTGCGAACCGGGGCCCCGTAACGCTTTTTGTCCTTTCTTCACTTTCTCTCCTTTGCCCTCCCCCTGGCAAACTTGACATGCCAGTGACCCAAAGGAAGGGGGCAAGGAAGAGGAAAGAGAAGAGGGGAGGGAGGGGGGCGTGTCGAGACTTGGGCACCACATTGCGTCAGGCCGTCCTTAGCAGGCACCGACTACGTGGGGAAACGGCGCCGGATCAGGCCGAGGAGAGACGCGAGTGCTAGATGAGATATTATGTCGTGCGAAGCTACGAGGGGGCGGGAAAGAGGGAAGACGGGGAGCACCCCGGGAGGGAGAGAAGAGGGGATCAACCGAGGGAAGTACGCAGGGGTTTTGGGAGGAAGAAACGGTGAGGGAAGGAAGCTCTTTCATGGAGGAGTGAAAAGGAGATAATAGAGTCTCTACCCAGGAGACGAGTGCTTCCCCACCAACTCCCAAACCCGACGTCCGTCTCTTATTCGCTGTGTCCTCCTCGATAGAAAGTCCCGCGAGCCAAACACCTGGGACGAGAAGAGTTTCGCCGCAGTAAAGCCAAGGTGCTTCAAGAGTAGTACTGGCATGGGCTTTTGTATTACGATAAACGAGGGGAAGGGGAGGGGCGTAGAAGCGAGTGGAGAGATGCCGAAACAAACATTGCCTTTTCGACACGTCACGTCGCACTGCGAAGAACTTCCGCCTCTCGTGGATACTACTGCCGGGTTCTTTTTCTCCCTTTCTTGATTTAACCCACTTCTTGTTCGAAACATTCGCCTCCCCTCCAGTTCCTCTTGCCTTGCTCGATGCATCACGAGGCTTTTGACCATCCTCGCCACTCGTAAGCGAGGGCCTGCGCTTGTCCCCGTTCCCTAAACGGACGTTGGGGTAGGGTGGAGAGGATAAAGAAGAAGAAGAAGACAAGGATGAGGGCAAGTGGCGGGGCAGAGGGTCGAAAACGAGCACCTCACCTCGCCGAGATTGGCTTGTCAAGAGGTTTGCATGGTGGGGGAGGGGGGAAGAGTGAGATAGTTAGGGTTCAAAGGGGGTGAGGGTGTGCGAACGAGGTCCAGGTTAGCTAGAGACCTATTGCTTGCTTCCTGCTATTGAGTTCGACCTCGCGGCGTCTCAGAGAATGGGGCAAGGATGACCGGTTCTGACAATTTTCTTTGACAGGGCAGGGGGCACAGGAAAGGTGACAAGACGTAAGAAGGGGGCTAAAGTATGAGAGAGGGTGAGCAAGAAAAGGTTGCACGTATCTCCGGCCGGAGGTAGCATCTAGGCCTGAGCTCGAAATCTCCTCTCTCACGCTCTTGGTGGAACCCGGCGAAGAGTATTGTTGCATCTTCGCCCTCCATGTCAGGGACGGATCAGAGGTGGGACGGGGAGAGCCCTCCAATGTTGCTGGGAATAAGCCCGGCCTAGGGCATTCCACTAATATTGTGAGACAGAGTGGCATCACGGAGAGAGCAGGGAGGGGGTGGGAAGGATCCATGGGAGCAACTGGGGTCCTCAACTGCCAACCCTTTGTCAGGTGGGGAAGACGATAATAAAGAGAGCCTTATGATTTCTAGGGAGACGTTGGAGAGGAAGAGGGAAGAAGAAACGGCCCCCAACCGATCTTCTCCAGTGATCGATAACCGTCACTGGGAAAACCACAAGGTGGTAAAGATGAAACCCCAGGGAAGCCATACGAGCATTGAAACATGCCCAAGGCTATTCATAGAGTATTACTCGTTTTGCCTCCAAACCGAGGATGCTTATGACGCCAGCTATGCCACCATGTAAGCCTTGCCAGCCTCACACACGCCGTTGCAGAGAGCCTACTTTTGTTTAATATTCGCCCATGGATCCGTACCTACACCACTATGCATCCCTTGGTATTACTGGTACTGGTTGATGGCCCGTGGCGAAAAATACCACGGGGCTCGAAGCGACATGTCGGGGTTTCGATACCGGCATGAAGAGGAAGGCTCGCAGATGCTCTATTTGAGCGTCCGGAGCCTAGCACAACTTGACCCCCATTCAGGGAATTAGGTCATTAGTTGCGACCTAATCAATCAAATGCCCGGCTCACTGCTCACTTCTCAGATCTTGGGACGCCGGCGCTTTCAGCCCTCGTCACCCTCCGAAGGGATGATTCGGGGATTTCCGTGACTAAGTCACATTGTAATATAAACGAGGAGAAACACAGAAGGGGAAAAACAGGGGATGATCAAAAGTCAACAAGCAGGCAGTCCCCTTCCTCTTACACTCTGTCCTTTGTCTGAGGAGAAAAGACTGGTCCACCCCAAGCGAAGTAATTATACGTACCAGACATTACCGAAACTCTGGGTCACTCCCGGGAAGTTGGCGCAATCAGCGGCACGGGGGCCCTGTTCAGGGTTAGCAAGTTGCTCAGACGGACGGTAATTTGCGAGCCACGCTAGCACATCTCCCTTGTCACCTTGCAGAATCTCTCTCTTTTGTCTCTCCTTAATATTCTTCTTCTCGCGACTAGAACGTTGAGCTTCGCCTCCTCGTTCACATCAACGCGAACGCAGGATGATGCATCCGTCCCTTGTGAACCCGAATGACAATGTGCACCCACGCACACACGCACATAGGCCGACGCACACATACATATTCCACGCACAGGCAAACACAAGACAAGCACAAACAAGCACATTGTGCTGAGGTACTTTTTCCCCCTCCAGAAAAGGCAGAAGGTGGACAAAGAAAAAGGCGCGCTAGCTTGAGGAAGAGCCCGTGGGAATCCAAGGGCCTGGGACAAACGTCAGGAGAGTGGAGTGAAGGCAAGGGAAGGGGACAAGGGGGGCGCCGAGCCAAGTTTGGAAGCAAGGGTCCGGGGTGGTGGGTTCAAAGGATGACGGAGTAGCGAGAAACGGCCAAACATGCTCCGAGGGAGGATACAGTGATATTTGAGGTATTAATGAAGAGAAGAAAAGCGGCAGGCAGAAAAAAAGCACACATGTACCGATACCTCGCGGCGAGCAGCTCACAAATCAATGACTGAATCATCGTAGGAAACACGGAAAATGTGGGGAAAGCGAGCTTGAGAGAGCATGGAGGGAAGGGATATAAATGGAAAGAGAAAAAAAGAGAAGAATGGAAAGGGAAGGGAAGAAAAATGGATCAAAAATAGACCTAGAGGGGTGTCGTGACTGAATAGGTGGAATGAAGAGGTGACCATGGATCGCATGGTCTTGAGGGAAAAAAACAAAGGGTTAACCTGACGAGTGGGAAAACCCGAGAATCTGGTACGGTTTTGATTTTTCTTCTTCCCTTGAAAATCCCCAGGAGCAATAAATCCCGAAAGCCATCGAATTGGCCGGCCGAAAGCGCAACATCCCCGCATGGCCATGGTACAAGTACGAAGGACAACAGTCCATACCTCGGTACTGAACGAGAGATTACGATGCTCTCCTGAAGTAGTCCGTGGGTTGAATCACAATACAAGCCATCACCGTAGACGGGAAATGACACCTCGCTTTGCAAAGCCACTGCTAACACACCAAGAGAGACGGAGTCGGTGATAGCTCAGCGGCTACAAGTGATGTTCCTCAAGCTGAAGCTGA